GCTGGGAATAAAGCGGACGCAGCTTCAAGGGCTTCATGCTGTTGCTGCTGCTGCTGTTGCTGCTGCTGCTCTTGCTGTTGGGGATTGCTGTCATCAGCACCGGTACCGCCTTCAGCCACTCTTACCAACAATCGCTTTTTAAGGGGAAGCTGCCCGACATCTCCAGCAGGCAAGTTGGGCAGATGCGGACTCTGTTTCTGTTTTTCCTCCTCTTCGTCACCAGCCAACCCGCAGACATCAATTTCCTCATCACTGTCTCCTGAGCTAGCCAGTCTGCGGCTTCGGCGGTCGTGGAGTGCATGTCTCTCGTAAAAACGCGAACAAAAAACCACGAGAAATGCAATTGATACGACGGAGGCTAAGGCAGCCAGAACAACGCGCAGGCGCGGAACGGAACGACTCGCTTTGCCCCTCAACTTACCCGATCGAGTAAATATCGATTCCGCCGTTGGCAACACAGAAGAAGCAGAGGCTGAGGCATCGCTTGGAGCTGCATTGTTCTGGAGAATATTATGCCGTTCGGGCATTGGGTCGCAACTTTAATGTATTAAACACGAAGCCATGAGCCACGTAACCCACAGTAGCGCTCCGAGTCGGGCTGGGGATACACCGAAGGTTTCCGGCAAGGTCAGAGACAGGCAGCTCAAATGATGGATATGGAATGTTTTATGGTTCTTAGACTATTTGTGAAAAGATTTTCATGAATGAAAATTAGTCTAGTTCGGATCAAAGCAATGTATCAAACAGTTCCAAGGGAGTGAGGAGGCGGTGTATGTTGCTTTGTCCATACATGGGCCCACAACCAAAAACGTTGGTCCGTCAGTGGGAAAACACTGGCTAAAACATAAAAATAAAACGAAAATCGAATAAAATTAATATGAAACTTCTCCTACAACGAAATTTCGGTGGTCGCGGTGCTGTTTTACCTGTCGCTGTCCCCTGCATGCCATGAGACCGTGGAATGCTGCAATCGCAACAAATATTTTGCTTGCAGTTGGAGCGAGTGGTCTTTGACTGAGTCAGAAGAGGAGGTTCCCCGCCGTAAATGCTGGGGTTGTCAATGTTCAATGCTGTCACTCCCTAAGTTCGTTTTGTGTAGATCACGTAGTCCCCCTGCTGCGACCAAAATCGGCGAAGATGGCATCTATGGAACGGCCGTCAGGCTGTCGTTCACGAGAAATTAATAAAGTGAAATAGCCCACTGAATGCTGCGCGTTCCCCTCCTTTATGTTATATGGGGCTTAATTTCCTTTTGCTGAGATAAATAACAACGGCGTGCAGTGGACGATCTGACGAGTCCCACACGCCTCCCACTGTCAGTTCCCAGGCAATCGAAGCCGTGGATCCTATACTGTGAATATACACAGCTATTCAGCAAATAAGTTTTCCTTCATTCGAGCCTAATTTCTTAAAAGTAATTTATACAGCCGTTGCAAAGCAGCTGGGGCCTGCATTGACGGTCCACTTCGTATTAACCCAACGGGTCGTGGGGACCTCGAGCAGTCAGTGTTGGGTGCGGCTGAATGTTGGGGAAAATATGAGCGCAGCAAAAGCTCAATTTGACTTCTTCCCCTTTCGAATATTCCATACTTTACCCTCGATAAAGCAACTTCCTAGATTACGCGGCTTGCGCGTGCCCCATAGTCGCTCCCCGTGGTTTGAGTCTTGGTGTCAAACAAGTCACGGCTATTAACTGGGTTTCACTTTTCTGCGTGTCATCCGCATCTGCAGACACGCACATTCCAAAGGTAACTCATTTATGTAATGTACCGAAGATTGCATGGATAAGCAAAGGCAGCCTAGCTGGTCCCCACCCTGCGCGTCTCTAGTCTCCAGTTCCTATTGCGTTCCAACGGCGAAGGTGCGATGTCCAGGGGCTTTCAGAGCCTGTAAAAT